CAGCTTCTTTGCTATTTCCTGGAACTTTTGCTGAAGTCAAAGAGCACGTCTACACAACAGGGCTAACGCCGAAATAAGATATGCAACTTAAGCTACGTCAATTGCATAGCTGAAGTCAAAATAGCTTATTTCGGTTTTTGGTGCTGTCTACAGCAGGAAGTCCAAGAAAGAGCATTCTTCCTCTGACTTTCCTTACTCCTTGTAAAATAAGGGTTACAGGAGTCGGAGTAAAAAGTCCTTCAGCTCGACATTATTTTGACATTATGTTGAAATAACTGCTTGTAATATAGACACAGACTATATTATTTTGGAATAATGTCAGTTATTCTGAAATAACACTGCTGTATAGATGTACCCAAACTGTTTCCTTGCCTCACACTATAGATCAGGGTTTTCAAACCCCTGGCTGGAGAAGTTGCACAATCTGTCCCGGGAGCCCTGACAGGCCCAGGGGGAGCCTGTCCGTTCTCACCCCCAAGCTCCGCACTTTCCTGCAGGCGCTACTGCTCACTGTCTATCCTCCTTGGCAACTCATCCCTCCAGGGAGTGGTGCCAGGGATTTCCAGCAGGTCCTGGCATGGGGCAGCAGCAGTGTTTCCCTCATCCTCTGTTCCTTGCAGTAGTGGGAACCGTAGGGAAGTGGAGTGCACTTGGTGAGCACTGGGAGCGCAGGGGGGCCCAAACGCTGCTGCTGCACCTCACTAGGTCCCACTAGAAATTCCCAAGGCCACTCCCTTGGGGGACAGGATGCCATGTGGGGAGGGAGAGAGCTGGGTGGTGGCAGGAAGGGGTGGGGTAAGGGATGGGAATGAACAGCTCCCCCATTCAGCAAGGCTCCTGGATCAGACTGCACAATGGCCCTGGCTGGGAATGGCCCACAAGTTGAGAATTTGAGATCCTTCTTATAGATGAACCAGAAATCTGGCTATGCTCCTGTGACCAGCTAGCAGCCACATGGAAAAGGATTTCTTTATGTCAGTCAAGATTCATTTGGCTATAGTTCAACAATCAGAATAACTTGGAAGGGTTAAATGCTGAATAGCTGTACTTGAACCAGAGGTGTGGCTTCTAGTTCCTAGGAGTCAATTTGCCAGTTTGGGGAGAGAAAATACACCATCCCATGGGATTGCACTGCTGATCTCTCTCTCAGGAGTAGACTCAAGTCTGTGGGCCTGGGCCCAAACTCCAGCCACATTGCCAAATAACAGGGGTTGGTCCTTAGTCCTCCCAGGGTTCAGACTTTAACTCCTTACACTACCTCCACTTCCCCAGAGTCCTGGACCCCAGGCCCAAGTCAGACAGAACTGAGAATGGAAGTGTGGTTTGGGTTTACACTGCAGTGTAGACATATCCTTAGAAGATGGTAGGTAGATGATTTAAGTATGAAAATAGCATTATCCATGATTAGGGCTATAGATTTGTCAAGAAAGGAAAACTGTCACCGATGCTGTGATTTTTCCCATTTGTAGAGCCCTGCATGGATTTAAAAATGTGGATCCAGATCTTTCATCTCTGCTGGAAACAACATGCCTCCAATCCCCTCCTTTCATGTGTATCCGCATCTGCACCATGGCAGAAGCAAGAAGTGTTAGTGCTTCACTCACAGGAGGAGCTCTGTGTGTCCTAGGGATTCTTGTCCTGCTCTACCCCACCAGGCCCTGCTACTGGGGAGTAAGACAAGCACCCTATCCACGACCATGCTCCTCTGCAGGAACGCCCCGACCTGCTCAGAGTGCCTGGCGGGGCAGAGTGGGACAAGCACACAAGGCCCAACCATACTCTACAGGAGAGCCCCAACCCCACTGCTCAGTAAACTGGGCAAGGTGGAGTGGGACAAGCACACATGTAGAGCCCCTTTTTCAGTATCTATATCTTCTTCAATATTTGCAGAAATTAATTGTGGATATGTGAGGATTTGCAGGGCTCTACCCATTTGTCCATGACTTGTCTTTGTATCCATAACTCACACTGCATTGGTGGCTCCTATCTCATGGGCCTGAGTCTGGCTTCCTCCTCAGTACGTATAGGGTTGCAGCGTTTGTTCAGGTTTGGCCCATAGGGATTGAGACAGTCAGGAAAATTTGAATGAATCTCTCTATAACCTTGTATACCAGGTGGCAGAGACATTCACATGTCACAACCACAGGAGTAAGGAGCTCTGCGTGTCAGGAAAGGAACTGCTGCAACACATTGAGCGCTGACCAGGCTTTCTCTTCGACTCCCCCTTCCCATTTGCAGATTTTTGTATCCAAAAATGACAAAACATGTGACACCTTTACTTTGACTGCTTTGCAATTTTTTTAAATTTAAAAACGCTGTGCCAGGCCTGCAACCTTACTCATTTAATTAGGGCATTGCCAAATTCAGTCATGAAAAATGCATCACGGACAATGAAATCTGGCCTTTTGTATATATATACTATACAGATTTCACTGGGGAGATCAAATGGGATTCCTGCCTTAAAAGGGAATTGCAGGGATGTGTGTTGCAAGGTTATTTTAAGGGATCATGCTATTGCCATCCTTACTTCTGAGCTATGATAAGAGTTAGGTGGCCAGAGAGCAGTGGCTGTTAGCTGGGTGGTCTAATTTATTCATACTTCTTGCAATATGTACTGGAATGTTCTTTATTTGTGTTTCTCTTCAAAGGGGCAGTATGTTCTGTAACAAAATCTGAAGAAATGAGTAGGAATCTTGAGTTTCAGGAACTGTTTTGCAGCAGCAATTCTATGATGGTTTAGTTCTTTGCCAGCATTATAGATACTGCTAAAAATGTGAAATGGTGCCATTGATTAAATGCGTTTCATCAGAGGGGCTACTGCTAAAAATGTGAAATTGTGCCATTGATTAAATGCGTTTCATCAGAGGGGCTCACAGCACTTTTCATTTTATGGTTTACAATATCCCTGCGAGCTAGGGAGGTAGATAAGTACTAGATACTTATCTTGTAAAAGGATAAAGAGAGGTACAAGCGGTTAAAAGTACAGAGTGAGGCTCCAATTCTCTAAACTAATCCATAAAAGATCTTTGTGCCTATGTGGAGCCCCGTTTACTTGAATGGTACTGGATGCAGAGACAGAGATCTGTTTATGTGGCTCTTATTGTAGGTTCAAAATCCAAGTCAGTAGTAGCAAGTGGAAGAGTGAATTAAATTTGTAACACTCCTTCCTGCCATTAATAACGTAAATATTTTGAATTTTTATATAAAAATGCATTTTTAAATAGGATTTGCAGGTAGTTGGCCCATCTAAGGAGACTAGACTTCAACCTCCCAGTTGTCTTCCCGAACCATCATATTATAGCACGCTCTCTTTCTACCACTGCTTCCAAAACTCTGTAATTATTATTTCAAAGTGAACTAGGTTCAACAGCAGAGACTGAAGATGTTCCACTTGAGAATAGAAGCAGTGGTCTCAAGTTGCAATGGGAGAGATTGAGGATGGATATGAAGAAAAACATTTTAACTAGGTTACCTAGGGAGGTAACAGAATTTCCATCCTTATAAGGTTTTTAAGGCTTGGATTGATAAAGCCCTGGCTGGGATGATTTAGTTGGGGTTGGTCCTGCTTCAAGCAGGGGATTGCACTTGATGATATCCTGAGGTTTCTTCCAACTTTAATTTTCTATGATCCCACAGCACAGTGGTGAGGGTCCTCTCCTGAAAGATATGGAAGGCCCCTGTTCAACTTCCTTTCTCCCACCTCAGGCAGTGGAATTGCACCCACATCTCTCACTGCCTGGGGAAATGTTCTAATCACAGGGATAAAAGCTGTGACCTCTTCCTCCAGCCAGCTTTCTGAAAGCAAGTTTATCACAGATATTGATTCAGGTCCCTGTCACATTATTGGATTTTAAAGATCACTGCTGCATCCATGGGGGGTGGGGGTGTTTGCCCCAAGTATGTACGAAGGGGGCCATGTGAGGTGTCAAATGAAAGCTTATGTTCTATTGATTTTATGTATGTTATTCATGTACTTGTGTGAAATCTATATGTGGAGGTATAAATATGTACTCTGTGTTGATGTACTAAGCTCTTGCGCAAGAGGGCTTATTCCTCATGGGGAGAGGAATAACTCTTGTGCAAGAAGCCCTCTGATACGACGCTGTACTGTAAATTTACTTGTGCAAGAACGCATGTGCGGTGTAGACGCTCCGCAAGTTTTTGTGCAAGAATAGCGATTCTTGCACAAGAAGCCTGCAGTGTAGACATAGCTTTAGATTTTAGATTCTAAAGGATTGGCTCAAAGTAATCTTGTGGGTAAGTTCCAAAGTGTAAATTGACTGGGAACTGTAGCTGGTCTTTTGGGACCAGGAGAACCCGTTCAGGGTAGATGAGACTGGGTTCTATAACCTCTCACCTGTGTGTTAGGCCCAGGGTTGATTGTGGCACAGGGAGAACTGGGGCATCTGAGGGGTTTTGTTCAGTGTGATGGTTTGTGGCCTCTTTGGGGATGGTCTCCAGTCAGGGGCTGTAAGGAGTCCTGAGTTTGAGCAATTCACCCTGAGCACATGCCCTCAGTGGTGCCCGGTCCATCACACAGGCCCCACAGACAAGATAGGGGTTCCACCCTACTTTTCCCTGATTGGTGGATTGTATTGAGGGGCTTAATGGGGAGACAGGCTAAAACTAGTGAAGCAACAACATGCATGTTCACAGGCTGAAATTTAGGCACCAAGGGAAATTTTGCCTTACCAATTGTGACACTGCACTAATTTAGGTAGTAACTGAACAGTGGTTTTGTAGCTTGCAGAGCAGCCAAAGTACCTTTGTGGAATCTGGGCCCCACCCACCAGAGTAATGAAGATGACTGGTTTCTGACAGCAGTTCTCTCACTAGTTGTGAAAGTATAGGCCAACATCTTTTTTCAGTTTTTCTGAGGCTGAGCATCTCGTTTGCACACCTCCCCCCCCCCCCCAACAAACCAGTTTTCCCACTCCAAGAAACAGATGGTGCCCATCTAGGTAGCCACCAGTGCAATCTGCACTCTTCACTCTTGGGGGTGGCTCCTAGGCGGGAGCTGGGTCCCTGCACACGCAGGCTGACAGCGGCCTGCCCCACACCTCGGAACTCGAAGCCAGGCAGGGGCAGGGGCAGCCGACGGCCTGGCCCCAAAATTGCCGGCCCAGAGCCTGAAGCGCTCCCGGCGCGCACCCCAGCCGGCCGAGCCCAGGGGAGAGGGAGGATACAGAGCCCGCGCCGGGCCCTCCCTTGCCTCTGACGCGATCAGGCGGCGTCACTCGCCCGGTGGCAGCGTCTCCTGAACCGACCGGAGGCAGCGGCCTGCGCCATGGCCCGGCAGGGGCGAAGCGGCACCGATACCCGCGCGGCGGCGGCTCCGGCGCAGTGATCGCGGCCGGCTGCCCGGCTCCGCCTCTGGCGCGGGCTTGGTACCATGTGCAGGAAGCGCCGCCGGGGGCTCTCTTAGTGAACCCTTTTCCGAGGAGCCCGCTGCGTCTCAGCGGCCGCCATGGACAAGCAGGGGCCGGCGGGGCCCAGCGCCGCAGCGCGCCGAGACTTCTACTGGCTCCGCGCCTTCGTGGCGGGAGGTAAAGGCCCCTCTCCGCGGGCAGAGGCCGGGGCACGGCCCGGGCACCCGCCAGCCCGTCGTGGGACTCGCGGCAGGGGCTCTGCGGCACCAAGCGTGGCTCTTCCTCGCCGTGTGGCCATCAAGCCCGTGATAAAAACGGGACTTGTTCCAAGCACGGGCTGCGGGCTGTGCCCAGGGGTCCCCTGGACACCGGGCTGGGGGAGGTGGCGTATGGACCCAGCAAGGCGCGCACAGCGAGGGGAGCGGACACCTTTGGCACAGAAGAGTCTTGGTGTTTGTTATGTGGGGAAAGTGATAAGCGGCTTTGAACCACCTCACATTGTGCCCTTCTGCCCCAGTCACTGATAGGGAAAACCTGGCTGGTAGGAGATTAAATGACTTGTCCAAGGTCGCGTGGCAGAGCTAGAAGCAAACTAAGCCATGCTCAATTTGATAGTCACCCCAACGATCATCTGGCCTTCAAAGTACTGCCAAAAATGCTAGCTATTTGCCATTGAAATAGTTAACACATCAACATTAGGTTACTTTAACGGCTTTTGCTGCGGGTGGCAGAGGAATATATTCTAATAGATCTCTTTTATAACTACTATCAACCAAGCAAATGAGAAACTTCCTCTTTATGGCTTCTCTAGGGAGATGAGCGATTTTAAGGATTGTGAAAGGATGTTGACAAGCATGGCTTCGAAATTTACACAAAAATCATTACAGTCTAGCTACCTCACTTCTAAAGTGGGTTAAATTAACATGCAACAAAATGTCAGCTAATTTGGGCAAAAACAGTTGTTTTGTGCATGGATGCAAGGCAGTTTACCTCCCCCCCCCCAAGAACATCCTAAAGTTATTCCAAAAAATCTCTTTCTCAGGGTACACAAGACATTAGGGGAAAAAAAGGAGTGGCCCCCAAAGCCTTGATCCTGCAAGTTAGTTGGTGGGCAGGGACTTGAAGAATTGAGACCTAAGTGTTAAGCATTATTATCTAAATAATTAAATTGATAAAGAGGGTTGAATGCTATTAAAGTGATTACGACACTCAAGATTTTGGAGATCTGTAGTGTTAAACATAAACATTTGAAGAAAAGAAATTTCAGACATTGTTTTAGCAATGTCGCTTTACAATCTTTTTCCCTTGAAAAATGGATCTTTCTAAAGACATTGTCAGGAGTATACCGAAGTAACTAAATAGACTGTTTTTATTTTAGCATCGTAGCCAGTGAGGTTAATCCAAGGCGTGATTATTGCTAATTGAAAATGTTTCCTTAGAATATTATAAATAAAAAGTGGCTTTTGAGGGGACAGTTACCTGTAAATAGCATTGTTTCTTTGTAAGACAGCTTGTTTCATTCATACATACACTACTATTTGTAAACATTTCTGAATCAGATTATTATCTAACCTTCTGCTGAATGCCCAAGCAACCTCGTTAGCACATTTAGGAAAATCTCTTTTTCAGTCAATGAAATATGTTGTGCCATTATTTGTGACTTCTGAAAAATAAGGCTATTTAAAAAAAAATAAAGAGAAAAAATAAAATATTAGAAAACACTCATTGGAGAAAACAAAGATTTACTTCCTCAGACAGACTGGTCCTCAGCTCTCATCACTGTTTGTAAAGTGTCAGGAAGATTTGTCAACTTAAGTTTCTCATTCTTCACTCATTAGTAGGATATCTTCATTTATAATTGTTCTGTATGTACCAAGTATTACTATAGAACCAGCACAAAAAAAGCAAACTTGATTCTGGAATGCATTAACAGGAGTGTTGTGAGAGAGACATGAGAAGTCATTCTTCCGTTTTACTGTGTGCTGATTAGCCCTCATTTGGAGTATTGTGTCCAGTTCTGGGCACCACATTTCAAGAAAGATATGGAGAAATTGGAGAAGATCCAGAGAAGAGCAACAAGAATGATTAAAGGTCTAGAGAACATGACCTATGAGAGAAAACTGAAAGAACTGGGCTTGTTTAGTTTAGAAGAGAGAAGACTGAGAGGGGACAAGATAGCTGTTTTCAAATACTTAAAACGGCTTACACAAGGAGGAGGAAGAAAAATTGTTCTCCTTGGTCTCTGATGATAGGACAAGAAGCAATAGACTTAAATTGCAGCAAGGGAGGTTTAGGTTGGACATTAGGAAAAAAAATCTGTCAGGGTGATTAAATACTGGAATAAATTGCTTAAGGAGGTTGTGGAATCTCCATCACTGGAGATATTTAAGAGATGTTTATCCAACCTTCTATCAGGGATGATCTACAGTGCTTGGTCCTGCTGTGAGGGTAGGGCACTGGATTCGATGACCTCTCGAGGTCCCTTCCAGTTCTAGTATTCTATGAAAGTTTGACCACAGAAAATAATCAGTCAGGACGACAGAGAAGTTGAACTCTGTAAAATTAAAAAAGAAAAGGAAAAATAAGATGGGAAATGTTAAAATAATTTTCTGTCTTACTGAATGAGGTGGTTGGGGTCATTCAACAGTTAAGAAGAATGGTCTTTCAAAAAATGTGAGGATTGATTTTACTTATTTCACTAAGATTTGTAGATCATTAGAATAAATATTTTTTGCCCTGAAAAATGCAAGCTTATTTACTTTTTAAATAATTTAGTTCCTGGGGGCAAACTTTGTTCCATTTAAAAATAAAATACAGTGGAGAAATATTTGATTAAGCTGATAATGTGAACAACTCTCACGTCTCCTAAAAACCTTAAAAACGAGTGGTCCTGTAGCACCTTAGAGACTAACTAAAATATATATGCATATTTTATATTCACCTTAGAGACTAACTTTAGAGACTTACCAAAAATATATATTTTTATATTCTTCAGATGAGTGGCTCATCTGAAAAAGTGGATTGTGCCCACGAAAACTCATGATGCTTTAATATATATACATACACAAACACACTTTAAAGTGCTACAGGACCACTCATGTTTAAAGTTTTTTTTTAAGTGACTAACACAGCTATCCCTCTGAGACTTTTCTCACTTGTTGTTGGTAAGGTGTTGCAGGATGTTGTGCCAAAACAACCATTGCACCATTGGATCGAGTTAAGATTTTACTGCAAGCTCATAATCACCATTACAAACACCTAGGTAAGATGTCTACTGCATATGTTTAAGTTTTAATTTTATACTGTAGGAGAGTAGTGGTGCTCCACTTACCAATGTAATTGCTGTAAACAAAAGCAATGATTTGTTAGGTAATTTTTTATTAGTACAATTTCATTGTCTTTTTGCTGGATTTGGTAGGTCTGCACAGTGTTATAAGATTGTTTATCTAAGATCAATGTTCATTCAGAAATATGTTTGTAAACAGAGAGATTCTGCAAATCTTACCTATATGTGTAAAAAGTGTACATCAGTGAAGCTATTCATGATATGTGAGAGTGCAATATTTGACACTTATTTTAATTTTTTTCCTAAATTATTTTGTGTAAACTCCCAATTAACAAATTCGAAATGATTTCCAGAAAAAACTGTAACACTGCCCCCTTCTGCACATGATTAGAATCATTGCGTAGAAGATGCCTGCATGTATTTGCACAACTTCATTAAGTTACAGACACACAGGAATGTGTAACCTTGAATTGGATGACTTGTACATGTAAAACACTAATTATAAAGTGCCATTAACTTAAGCATCTTGGGAGGAGAACTACTGAGTTATAACAATATTGGAGTTATTGTGCTTGTTTTCAGTATGATGTACAATAGAAGGCACTTGGCTGTGGAATATAGAGTGGTAGAAGGGAATATATGAATATGAAATCTAACAAATGGCTGAAATAGTTTGATGTTTGACTCTAATATTCTTCTTATCTCCTGATTTTTTTTTTTAAAGACTATGCAGTCATCAGTTTATATGTTCAAATAACATTTCACTCTAGGGTGGATGTGTGTGATTGATTTTGGAGTATCAAGAATGTCTTTGCTTAAATTGAATGAACATTCTAATCAAGCATTCCGGGGGAAAAAAGCGGGAAAGGGAAATAAGTAAAAAAAAATGGATATAGAGAAGAAACGGTCATGTTGGTCCAGTTAGCAAAATCCCATGTTTAATATTTATATTCTCTCTTGATGTTTTGGAGTTCAGGATACGTGAACAGCATTACATGTATCCAGGGCCGATTTATCCATTAGGCACTGTGCCTAGGGCCCATGATACTTTTAGGGGCCCATGAAAATGTTTTAATTTCTTTTAAAATCAGAAGAAAAAAAAACTTTAGGGTAGAAGAAAATGTTTTAATTTTTTTCTCACATCAGAAAAAAATGAAACTTTTAGGGCCCATGAAAATCTATTAAATTTTGCCTAAAACAGAATAAAAATAAAATGTTGAAGTATTTAAAGTTATATCAAAAATATTTTTTAATATTTTTTTTATGGAGGGAGGAGCCCACGAAGGCAAAAGTGCCAAGGGCCTACGAAAGTCATAATGCAGCCCTGCATGTATCTTTTAAAATAAAAGCAGTTTTAAAATAAAATGGTTATTTTTGAAGGGGCGGAGGGAAGTTCTAACCATATCAAAAGTATTTGTTCTCACTGAAGTTGTAGCAAGTATGAATTTCTAAAACATGAGAATCTGGTGAACATGAAGAACAATTCTATTGAGGTGTGAAAAATGCCATTCTTTTTGTTTGGATAGCTAAACAAAATTTTAGCACTTTAAAAATCACTTTTGGGCAGCGAACAAAGATAGGAACCTTCAGTTTAGTGAGTAAATATTTGTCAAAGTCTGTATTAAAAGTTACATATGAAAATGTTTACATATTGCAAGTAATGTCTACAATTAACTGAATAGATGTGTGAAAATATTTGTTTTTAAAAATTTGTTTAATTCATGTATTTCATAGTAACTGTGTATATAGTATAGAGAGAGTGGTTTATAAATATCCCTTCACTGGGACTTGGGAGAGTTGCATTTAACTCCTGGCTCTGCCACAGATTTCCATATGGTATTGGGGAAAATGCTCTCTCTCCAATTCAGTTCCCCTTCTGTAAAATTGGGATAATAATGCTTCTTTTTCACAATACCCCTCTGGGAAAATAAATTCATTAATGTGAGGTAGGTGCTTACATACCATAGTTGTTATGATGTCTATTAAAATCTGTGCATATTTTTTTTTTCAGAGGCAGGTGTAATAAATCAGACAATTTGTTTGTAATTGACTATTTAAAGTTATCAATTTTTGAGAAAAATTTTGCGCTGTTAGGATGCATCTACACTGCACAGTAGCTCGAAATAAGATATGCAGTTTGAGCTATGCAAATTGAATATCTTATTTTGATTTTATTTCAAAATAGTTTAATTCATAATTTGGTGCTGTCTACCCGCTATTCCGAAACATTCCTTATTCATGGAATAACCCGCTATTCCGAAACATTCCTTACTCATGGAATAAGGTTTACAGGGACAGCGGAGTAGCGAACCAGTTATATTTTGAAATAACTGGCTTGCTGTGAAGATGCAGGATAGCTATTTCAGGATACTCCGGTAACCCAAAATAGCGTTGCAGTATAGACATAACCTTAGGGTCCAGTATTACAGCATTTTTCTGGAGGGATGATATCGCATGGAATAGGTCTTCCTCCTGCTGGGTCACATTTCCACAATTCTTGGGGCATCAAATGCGTAGATTCATTAGTAGTTTTCACATAACCAGGGTGATGAGAAGGCAGGAGGAAATATGCTTAAACCTTCCTCCTTTGACTACATTTGAGCATTTAAAAGCTAGTTTTCTGCTTTCCACATGTACATAAGAGCAGCATGATCTGGCTTTAGTTTTATGCATACTATTTTATTGTCAGTAATACTTGTTTGAATATTTTTTCATTGTAACTCTGTTAAATATCTTTTTTTGTATTGATGACAGGAGTATTTTCTACATTGTGTGCTATCCCGCAAAAGGAGGGTTTCCTTGGGTTGTATAAAGGAAACGGGGCAATGATGATTAGAATATTTCCATATGGTGCAATTCAGTTTGTGGCTTTTGAGCAATATAAAAAGGTAGTTGGATTTATTTTGTTTCCTTTTATGGCTTTAGTGAATTATAGTTTTAAAATGATAAAATAACAGTAAAATCATGTAATTAACTAGTTTCCCCTTTTTCACATTGGCCTAAATTGTGGATTAAGGTATTCATTTAAAAAAGGGGGGCAAAAGTGAGAGTATTACCACTTTTGCATTGAGAAAATCTGTTCAAAATTTTAGTTTACTTCTGTGTTTGTCTCTCTGTGAGCAAACTGAAATATTTAAAAAAATGAATAGTCTTGTGGCTCTTTAGAGACTAACAGTATATAGTATCGTTAGCTTTTATGGGAGAAATCCACTTCATCAGATGAGCTGGAGTTGATGAACTCATCTGATGAAGTGCTCATGATATTTTTTTCACATATATATATTTATTTATTAGTCTCTAAGGTGGCACAGGACTACTCATTTTTTTTAAAGTTACAGAATAACACAGCTATCCTTCAGAGACTCTTAAAAATTAAAATACTCTTGATCCTGCTGCTCCCAATGTGCTAAAAAAGTGGTGCCACTGACTGTAAAAAATGTAGCAACTTAATGTAAAATGTGACCCCTTCTTTGTTCTTTTTAGTACTGGATAGGAAGATTTATTACTTCATAAATCAAGTAGTTCATTTAAATTTGAAAGGCATTCTGTCAGGGTTGCAACCGTTTGACCTGCACCATGACATCACATGAAAAAAAATTGCTCTGCAAGATAAAATGCAGTGTTTCAGGATCCCATGGGTTCTGTGAATTCTCTTCTAGGGCACTTATAGACTACATCCCTCTGTCAAAAAAGGGATGTAAATGAGCCTGATCGAAAGTGCAAATGAAGTGCGGGATATTTAAATTCTCACTTCATTTGCACTTTCGCTCAGGCTCATTTAAATCCCTCTTTCGACAGAGGGATGTAGTCTAGACATAGCCCTAGTCTACTGCATTTACTTTCCTATAATATTGGAGCTTAGATATTAGTATAAGTGTCTACTTCAACATTGCTTTTACTCAGTCAGAATTATGCCTTTCTTATTGCAATGTAAAACGTCAAGGTTTAACTCCAACTTGCATTGAAGCCAATGGAAGGACTCCAATTAATTTCAGTAGGAGTTGGGTTGTCCCCTAAAAGTAGCTGTGGGTATGTCTACACTAGCTCGTTCGCTTGCCCGAATTACCCTACCTAGCTCGAACTAACGAGCTAGTGTAGACATACCCTATGAGGTTTTCCTACTCAAAGGAACAACTTCAAGATGGCAGATTATTTGTGGGGGAGAAACTTCCAGTTGCCAGTTTCAAATGTTTAGAAATTACATATTTTAGCTCGCCATGGTAGCTGAGAGTAGTTCAGGAGACTTTTCAGAATCCAGTATTCTGAGTCCAACACATTTTAAAAATCTTTGCATTTTATGTTGTGCTATATACAAGAATACATACTATTCTTCATAGCAAAAGGGCCCAAGAATCCCAGAGACACCAAAGGCCAAATTATGAGGTTCTTCCTCCTTTGCATTACATTCTTACTCAAATAAATCCCTACTGATTTATAAATATTTTGAAAATTGAGTATATAAATCTTGAGGTTAGACCCTAAACGTAATTTCAGAATCTGAAAAATCCACCCTTGGTGAAGGCATTTCGACTGTGAATTTCTTATTAGGAAAATAACTGTCATACATTATTAGATTACATCAATAGTGCATCTAGTTTACTGTCCTTTCTCTGGCAGTGGACACTTAAGGGTACACCTACCCAGCAACATCATTTTGAAATAACATCTACATAGCAGGCAGTTATTTCAAAATAATGTCGAAATACTGTCAAACTGGAGGACTTCTTACTCCAACTTCTGTAAGCCTCATTGTACAAGGAGTAAGGGAAGTTGGAAGAAGAGTGCTCTATTTCGAAATAAGTGCTGTGTAGACACTCCCAATTTTGAAATAAGCTATGCAATTGACGTTGCTCAATTTGCGTAGCTTATTTTGAGTTAAATTCTGCTGCGTAGACGCACCCTAATAGATGGTTCAGGAACAAGATGCAAGAAATCCTGTAGTAGGAGGATATGAAATAATTTGTCTATGAGGGAAGATTCTTTTTAACTCTCATCAGTTTCTTAGCTTATGCCCAGACACATGAGGATTTATATCCCTTTCATGACTCTTATTGTTTCTTTTAACTGTATTAATATAACATGGAATGTTTTTGCTTATATAAATTCCCAATCCTTTTTTGAATCCTACTCAGCGTTAGGCTTCAGTGAACTCTTGTAGCAATGAGTTTGTAGTGTATGGGAAAATTATTTCATTTCTCAATTTAAAATTTGTTTCTTCTCACTTTTACTGAAAATCCCTTTGCTCTGTGTTACAAGCAGGGCTATACCAAATTCATAGTCAGTTTTGGTCACTTTCACGGCGATAGGATTTTAAGAATTGTAAATTTCATGATTTTAGATATTTAAATCTGAAACTTCACAATGTTGTAATTTTAGGGGTCCTGACCCAAAGGATGTTGTGGGAGGATCACAAGGTTATTGTAGGGGGAGCTGTAGTACTGTTGTCCTTACTCCTGTGTTGACCCTGGCAGTGGCGTTGCCTTCAGAGCTGGGAACCTAGAGCAAGGCATTTGTTTGGCCGGGAGCTTGGTATGGTCTGCCACCCTGTACCCTTAGTCAGCAGCCATCTCTCTTTGGGCTCCCACCTGTGGGCAGTGCAGACGTAAGGGTGGTCCTCCATAAATATCCTTGCAGTGTTTCTGCAACTCCCTTTTGGGTTCCACCCTTCCCCCCCCATTTAAGAAACAGTGGTCTTCCCCTGTAAAATCACTATAGTAGAGAGTAAAAGCACACACGACCAGTTTTCATGTTAAGAGACCAGATTTCTCAGTTTTTGATGCAGTTTTCATGTCCATGAATTTGGTAGGGTCCTAGTTATGAGGGTGAATAGAAGGCCTGTCGGCATTCTTTGTACGCTATTTTTATACTTATATTATGTCTCATGTTTAATGGAAAAAGTCTAATTTCTTCTGTCTTCTCAATCAACATTTGCTGATTATAAAAATATTTTCAGTACAGTGGTATAGATAACAAGTGAGAAATAGAAAAAAGATGACTGAGTGTTACATTTTTAACAGAAATTTAAGTATTTTTCATTTGTAATGTCAGGTGGTTGCTAATATGCACCTTGAAACAATTAAATATATTTACAGTAAACTCTGAGGTATGTTTCTTATCATATGTCATATGACTTATTACTGTTATAAAACTTTTATGTTTTGTAGCTAATAAAGGTGCAGCTTGGGATTTCTGGGCTTGTGCACAACTTACTGGCTGGATCCATGGCAGGTACAGTTTTATTTTCACTTTCAGACACCATCTATTTTCAAAGTAAATAATAGTTTAGGTAATGTTTCTTGAAATAAAATTTCACTGTAAATCCATATACAAAAAAGTCTACCAAAACACACGATAAATATTTCCATTGGAAACATTGTTTTAATTAAAATAAAACTTTAAAGAATATAGCAATTTAAACTTTTGTTTTAAATCTTTTGTTTGTGTTAAATCTTGCGAAAATCTTTTTGTTTGTGTTAAATCTTGCGAAAACAATATTTTTTAAAACTTAAGAAATGTTTCCTCAAATATGTTTATAGTTACACTAAAAGCATCTGTTTTTAATAAAATAAACAGTACTCAGAGCTGTACTGATGTTTAGAATGTTGGGAGTCCTTCTGTAGCTGGAGCTACTGCAGCTGCCACCATTTGAAGCACCAGGTTTATTTGACTTCATTACCTCTTTTATTTGTATTACAGTAGTGCCTTGAGTCCAATCAACTATTGTGCTAAATATTGTGTAGATACAGAAAAAAAGCAGCCCCAGTCAGAAAGAGCCTAAAATCTAAATAGACCAGATACCCTTGGTTGTGAACTACTAGACTACGTAGAGATCTTCCTGGGAATACATTAATTCTCCTAGATTTATGCCTAGTTTTACAACAGGTTGTATACAGAAACACTAGCCAATGTAAAATTTCATACAAACAAAGCAATAAGTTTTAGTGATAGTGCGCTGCGACACTTGTGTATTTTTATGTCTGATTTTTGTAAGCAAGTAGTTTAAATGAGGTGAAATTTGGGGTATGCAAGACAAATCAGACTCCTGAAAGGGTAGTAGTCTGGAAAGATTGAGAACCACAGCAGTAAACTAAATGAGAAGCAGGAAGGAATATAACACATATGCAGAGGAAAAGGAAGGGATAAGCACTGAAGTGGGAGTGGC